TATGTCATAATGACAAATAAAATATAAAAATGAAAAAAAATCATTAAAAACTACATGCATAGTACCTATAATATGGAAATATCTCAAAATGACAAGTAAAGTATAATATTGACAAAAATTTTAAAAAACTACATAATATTGTATACCTAGTATAATAATATGAAAATATGTCAAAATGGTATCAAGCTTAGATAAAAAGTGCACATACATAATTATTTAATATTAAGGGTTTAATAAATCAATTTTAGAATAATTCGTCAAAATGAACGATCTATAAAATATAAAATTTCCATTCTTTAATATTTAAAAAAATYTTTAAAAACTACATGTATAATATATGGAATTTAAAAATTCCATATTTGTTATTTCCTTTTTTTGATGTTTGTTACATAAATTTAATAGTTTATTATTGCCAGCAGTATAGGATTTTTGTCTCTTATGAAGTCTATTGCCACATTCATCCAATTGTATTGCTCGCAAAACCGTCCAAAAACTTGGATTTGTTGTTCCTACTAATTTATTGAACGAACTATTCCACCCTTCACTAAAATTATTARTTCGATGAGAATTAGACATAGTTTGACGTCTTACATTCCAAATATAAGGAGGRTACCGTGCGTTATTGTTATTACCACTAATATAAGTTCTATCAAAGTATGAAATAAGAGGTAGTAATTCTTGARAAAATGTTGTATACATATGAYTAATTTCGACCAAAATGTCGTCAATAGGTAAAAACGCCAATGAAGTCATCACTCTACATTCTTTGGAAATCCGTTCATTTTCTTTATACAATTTTGCTAATCCAAGTTGCTGAATTTGTCGCCATACAGACTGGYATAAATGAAAAAAGCAACCTTGAATCTGGACGTCATTAAAAACTCGATTTATTACGTTTATTACACCTAACTCAAAATCTATAATAATTCGCTCAGGCTTAAGGGGAGATGCGTTTCGTACAGATGCTATAACGAGATTTAACAACATTTCATGATACGTATTTTCTAATTTATCTGGAAGAAAAGCATAAACACACGTCCTAACATTTCCTTCAAATTCTGCTCGTATAATTGAGCAAATATACTGGAAAATTTAAATGTGCCATCCTTGAACCACATATTTGATGAAGATAAAAAAGAAAGACCTCCATTTGTAGCGAAAATTAAAATTCTATGCTCATTTCCATCGTCATAAATTAAAAAATCAGTTGACTCGCCGCCCATTGTAGTTTTCCACTTATTTGGTAGTGAAAAATTTAGATTTTTAGGCTCATCAAGAATATTTTTACGTCGTGCACGTCTTATAGTGCGACGTAAAGCATCAGGATTTTCCAAATTTGAACAAACTTTACCTACAATGAAACATCGATGTAAAAAATATTTTACTATACCTAAAAATATAAAAACCTATAAAAAATGTGTATTGTTTACTGACTACTACATCCATGTGCGATTAATAAAATAATTTGATTTGTACTTTCTTTGTTGTTAATTGCGCATGGCTTCATCTCAGTTTTCGCGTTATTGTTAACGGCACAGAATGTTAGTTCATCCAATGGTTTTGGGTCGTGTTGATGTGATACAAATTTAGTAAATACGGTATACTAAAAAAAATATATATATATTTAAGTTAAATTCATATTATTTGACGTTCACAAATAATAATACAATCGTAATTTATATACAAATAGTACCTATAATATTTATAAAAAATATTTTTGTATAACAATAACTATAATATAATAATATATCTACACAGTTAAGAAATAAAAATAAAATATTTATATATGAGGWACTTACTGGTTCTATAAGATTTGTAGACATTTTTCCTACACACGTGATGACTGAACATTTCCATCTTACATCATTCAAATTTTTTCTTAATACCGTATATTCAAAACGATCTTTAACAAGTTTTGGTCTTAATTTACTGGAACTTGTTGTTGCCATCGTGAAGATTTCGGTAGCGACAGTGTCTTAGTGAAATGCATTTCAACGATAAACGCAAATGATAAGTAGGTATTTAACGTAGATATCGCGATTGTGAAATATATATAATGATAAACTATTATCGATGTATATGTACATTATGTACCCATGAGATTCCCCAGATTATATAAAATGTATTTATAACATTTTTAGTAAAATTTGTCATATATAATATTATATAGTATTATTTACTTGCTAACTTAGGTATATAACTTATATTTATAATATATATWCTTTATGTATATAATAGTACAAAGTGTCCGCGTTCTGCAATGTACCTTTTTACCCGACCGTACAAAGTGTCCGCGTTCTGCAATGTACCTTTTTACCAGACCGTACAAAGTGTCCGCGTTGTACATTTTGAACAATGGGCCGTACAAAGTGACCGTTTACCCTATCTTAGTGACCTTCAAAAAATATTCAACGATATCTATTTTAAACACTGTTGTAGGTATAACTATTAGTGCAAGAACTAAAAGCCGAACGTTTAGATATATATTTTTATTATTATTTACTCTACATATAACTAACCTATCCAAAAAAAAATGTTTGTAAACTATTAATATACCCATAGGCGTGCGCAGACTTTGTTTGCAGGAACTATGCATTCTAATGGGAAAGTACAAGATGAACCAAGATATTAGCGGCTCCTGAAAGTCTACTAATTTTAGTACTATTATAATTGCAGAGTGATATACACGTGATCAAACACTTTGGTGAAGTTTAAATAAATCACGTCAACTTGAGAGTATCATTGAACGCATCCATGACTACATACTACATAGGTACTCTGTGAAAATGGAATTTAGTAGTTAAGCGCCTCGGCCTAAAATCATCATACTGCTCATCAATTAAAATATAACTAATTGGACGTGAGATAATACTTAAAATAATGGATATGGATTCAAGTATCTTAACTAAATTACTAGCAATAAGTCTATAGTTCGATAAACTATCGTGGCTGAGCTGATTTTCCAAATATCTGAGAAAAAACATTCATCTATTGATTTACTTATAAATAATGGGTAACACAGAGAATCTTCTATAGCAATGGTGGATTTAAGGGGATGACAGGCCTTCGTATACTAAATAAAAAAATACATATTTAAAATTTTTTCTATATTTGTATGTATTTATTAATTACTGGACAATTTAGGACATATTAAGACATCATCAAAACTAGAAGCTCATGAGGTAGCCCATTAACTTCAAGATCACTTAAATTGATTGTTGTAGAAGAATACACGGATCTAAAATGTAAAATATTGAAATCTATTGTTTCATTAATATTCTAACAGAAGTGTTACAATTTATCAGAGCCCTTAAATATTATTGCTAAATAATACTAGGTTATAAATTTCTATTAATAAATCAGAAGAATTTGTTAATGGTACATAATAGTTGTTAAAGTTGACGTAATCAGCTATTGAGAAAAAATTCAGACAATTTTTAGTTAGGTCGCCTGGCTGCTTTACACTATTTAATATATACCTAGATGCTATTATTCACAGAACCTATTCCTATTATTTTTAAGGTTGTGTATTTTTTATAAAATATTCAATTATTACATCAAACTTCAAATCCCATCCGTTCTTCAGCTGAAAGTTAGATATGATAGAATATAATTATAGAGGCAATTTAAGCAAATGAAGCCCGTTAAACATATGTATAGGCAACACAATATGTTTTATGTCAGACAAATTTTGTTTACAAAAATAAATTATTTTGATCACAGTGATACTACTAAATAGGTATAAAATATATAATAATCACTAAATAGTATTTAAACTTATATTGTTGAGATTTTTAGTTTATATTATGAATACAACTAAATGAGAATAAAAACATTATAAGTAAGGTATAATACTGTTAATATTTTATTTTAGCTTAGTATTACATAAAATTACTGAAAATATGACTAATACTACTACTATAACTAAATACTATATTACTGATAACAATAAACCAATAAAAGCAAACTACTGTAGTAAAATTACATAATAATTCTGTTTTCACTYATTTGGTTGCTGTAAGAAATATAAAAAGTGAAATGATTTTGAATTAACACAACTATATCAAAGACAAAAGTTAACAATGTCATTATAATATATATTAAAGTATAAAGTTTTGTGTCCATATCATTTATAACAAAAAAAAAAAAAAAATGTAAATTTTAGAAGAATAAAATCAAAAAATATATTAAAATATTTAATTTTGCTTTTGAAATGATATTTAAAAGACCTCATTAGGATGACGTAAACATGGTTATTAAATGATACTTTCTCATTAGATGGTAAATTCAAAATATAATATAATTTATAAAACAGAAATAGATAATTTAAAACAAAAATTTMATGTCGATAAAAAAAAAAAATGCTCTCCTTTTTATAAAGTATAGTCCTCTTCTTTATTCTTGAAATGAGAATCTACCTAAAAAATATAAATATATTTGAAAATACTACATTTTGGGAAATGTATATATATATATATATACATTTTGGGAAATGTATATATATATATATATATAAATAAATAAATATTATATTATATGTCACTGAGATTTTCTACCATATTAATTTAAAAACAAGTATCAACATATTACAAAACAAATATAATGCGGTCTAGAATTCTAGATACTGTCTTAAAAAAGAATTATCACATTTTGTGCATTGAAATAGAGATAAATATAGATTACTGCAAATGCAATAGATGTAAATAAAATAATGGACATAATATAATATTCAGTATATATAAATGTGCCCCCAAAACAGAGTAAACCGTATAGTTAAATTACCCAAATTACTCTGTACCATATTAATATTTTTGAATTTTATTTGCAGGACAGTTGATTGATCATCAATTTCTCGCAGACATAATTTTAATATATGCATTAATGATACTGAGTAATATAGGTAACCGAGTTATAGAGTGTATCATCTACTTTTTAAGGACATATGGTACATTGCATATATGTATATACAATAACATGTATAGCATGCAAACAATTTTATGCTATACATTCATTGTTTAATATATTAAAAAATTAAAAATGTATGTACTACTATTTTATTTTACGGTTGTGTTCCGCGAAAATCTTATAAAATGTTAAGTGATCCGTCATTCGAATAAGGTTCTTAACCACTAATGTGGATACAAAGAATACTGTCTGCACTTTATATCAGGGAGTCACAGATTTATGCCAGCTCAAGCCTTAAGTTTTTTTAAGCAACCAGAAAAACTAATATTTTGATATTAAATTTCAAGATCTCTAAGCTAAATGACTATATATATATATCTGAGATGTAAAAAATCCATTCAAACAAATTAATAAAAATAATTAAATAATTATTTTTCTTTGTAACATTTATTAAATGATTCTTTTTTTATTTCTATTTCATAATCTTATTACATTTTAGACTTTACCACTTCCTAAATAACGTTATCACACCATCTCAAAAAGTATTTCATATTCAGTTTGCCATAAAAAATGGCTGAACCCCCAATTTATAGTATATTTTATTCTACAATTTGAAAGCTCACAAATCACATTAAAATAAATAAATCAATAGGTATTAAATATTTCATAATACTAACAATGTTTATTTTTGAGTGGTTGGACACACATAGGACCTTTGTTGATTCCTTCTAACCCGTCTATATTGACGTCCTTCAATAAAGCCAGCATCCCAATCGACTATCAACTGCTTTCCGTGTAATAATGTTCCATTCAGTTTCTTCATGCAATTTTCAGTACCTGCTCTTGTTTCATATCTAAGCACATAGAAATAACATACAAAAAATACAGAAAATCTCAGATTCCTAACAAATTGCTTTAGTTAGGTGTTATGTAYRAAAAACACACAAAAAGTATCATTTTTTGATTTGTGAGATGTTTAGTTTAGCCTCTAATACATCTTGGTGAAGTTACTATTGCAATTTTAAACTAACATGCTGATTGACTTTTACCTAATATTTTAATGACAATGTTAGAATCATTCTAATAATTTCTGAATATTAAATAAATGTAACATTTGATGAAAATTAATTTTCATTTCAAACTGACAAAATATGCTTTATTTAACCATTAATACTACAAAATATACTATACCTAACTGCTTAAAAAAAAAACAATAATAATAATTCTAAATAAATAAAAAATAATAGTCAATAAAGCAATTCCAACAGTATGAAGCAAAATATATCATTCCTTAGCAAAAAAAAAAAAAAAAAAATGAAATGATAATCAAAATTCATATTAGAAACAGCTAACAATTTATTAAGTTTATATTTAAAAAAGTTAGATAAGTAGACACTGCTCTGTTGTTACATCTGCAAYGATGTAAAATCATTGTATAAGAAAAACAATTCAAGCAAAACCAGTTATGCATTATACTAAAACAATAATTTTAAATWACAAAAAAACAACTGTAAGTCTTGTTTTCTGTTTAAATATATAATTTCATCTAAATGTGAACTTATAATAACCATTAAAAAAAGACAGTGTTTATATAAATTTTACTAGTTTTGGTTACAGACCTTACAGTTTAAGCTTTATGAGAAATATTGTTTAAAATTTTGAATTTTGAACTACAAAAAAAGCAGGTAAGTGGATGTTGCTCAACACCAGTGGTCCTCAACCGGTTTTCCGCGGCACAATACTGTGCAAAGAGATTGACTAAGTGTCCCACGAGAAGTTTCTGATATTTGTAATTATACTGGTAAAAATATTGAAAACAGACATTTATTTCATTACCATTTGTATTGAGTGTGTCACAAAAACTTGTGATGTATAATAATRTGACATGAACCAAAAAAGCTTGAGAACCACTGCTCTATGCTCTACTGTACAATAGGTTACAAGTGAATTACTGAAATGAATGGTATATAAATTTGAATTTAAAAATGTTTTTAAAACATAAATTAATTAAATTAAATGATAATAAGATAACAGTGRTTTTTAAAATAAACTAGCTTTAAAACCTAGTGTTTTCCTAGCTTATAAATCCAAGGTTTATCTTTAAACTCAGTCTATGGTATAAGTAAAGTTTGTTGTCTATGAATACCAAAAATAAACTATTGTTAAACTACTATTGAACCATTGTTTAACCACGTCCAATTTAACTATGAATAACACTGCTAATCCTTATAAAAAAAATATGTATCCTAAATATTTTAGAACTTCCATTATAACAACTTAAAAGAAAGCTTATGAAAAATGATAAAATAAACATTTGGTGAAGATTTCAAGTATCAACAGTTATTTATTTTTGAATTACAACAACACAAAAAGTTTGTTCTATGAGAATATCCAATATCGTAAAAATCTGTACTTCAAACACTCATAAAGTCATAAAAAATGAATATTAATATTCAGTTGACTTTTTTTTCTAATGTAGAAAAATTCATTAAAAAACCTTGTATTAAATTTAAGATACAAATATAACAATTTCTATACATTTCTAATTTGATATAGTTTTCAACTTTGTATCAATTCAAACGCTCATAAAAAACTATTGAGGATTTACACTCAACTTTGTAAAATTTACTGATGTGACTATTTTACACATATAAAGATAATTAAAAAAAATTGTTCAACTCAATTACACTAAATCCATACCATTTATTTCAATTAAAAGTACTTATTAGTAATTTACATAACTTTAAGAAGATCATATTTAATAAACTATGAAACTATGTGGAGTAAACCAAGATAGATAACTTGATCAAAAAACATCAACATTTTAAGCAAAAAAGAAGTCTACCAGAATCAATTAAAATTAAAATAGTGGTTAATCATAAAAATAAAGTTGATTTTGCTGTTGATATAAATGCATGCTTAAAATTTTTTTTAAYGTGATAGAAAAATAAAACAATAGATATATTATTTTTTTTGAAATTCTTTACTATTGAACCATAATAAATAAAAAGACCACATGTAAAAAGAAATAACTACAAAAATACGTATAGAAATATGTATGAAAATTTAATGAACTAATTGTACTTCAAATTATGAACTTGTGTGCATATTCAGTGAGGCATTATTAGAAGAATAAAAATAAATAAAGGCCTAAAATTGAGTGTAGTTTAAATTGTATTATTATAATAATTAATTGAATACTACAACTGCTAAAGTTTATCACCGCAACATTAGTTAAACACATTATACTAAATGTGCTGATTGAGATCTAGGCTTGATTCCAAAACTCTCCAAGTAATTTAGTTAAAAAATTCAAAATGCATTTTCTGCATACATTTTATTTGTACAACAATTAAAATGTATTTTTATGTATTTTGTTAAGTATTAATAATTATGTGTACATACTCAATGAAGCAAAATCCACCAGGACCTAATGTTTGTTTATCCAATCCCATGATAATGTTTTTTATTTTTCCTGCCTCTGAAAATAGCTTATGGACCTCCACTTCAGTTGAAAGCAAATTTAAATGACCAACATACACAGTAGTTGATTCTTCAAGCTTTTTTGAGTATTCTGTGCGAGAGCCCTAAATTTTATTATACATTTCTATATTAATGTTATTTATTTTATATTAAATAATTYTAAAAGTAGTTAACATTTAGCATTCAAAAGGCATCAAATCTTTTACTAATAAATGAAAAACTGCAGACATTTACTAAGAAAATTATAAATTGTATTAATGAGACATAACTATTGTTTCACAATTCGACAAATTTAGGACTAAGAACAAATGATCACGATTATTAATCCATTAAAAACATGTTCACATTTGTTTAACAGCAATTAACATTACCATATTACCAAATCAATAACTRTTTTTTAAATATTAAGAACACCTATATCTTAAAAACTAGTATACAGGTGTAATATATTATGTAGGTACATACCTTGAATTTACAATCAAAATACTTAGATAGACCTACAACATTGGCCGTATTGTTCAAATTACGTTTAGCAGGTGGTACATATAACTTGATAAATGAATCTTTATTTGACGAATTTGGTACGTTATTATTCTTCTCCTTAAAAACCATTAACATTTTTTTTGTTATTATTTAAGAGACAAAATATTTAAATCAAAAACATTCAAATACAAGAATTTATTATAGTGTCAACTTTAATATCTAAATTATATTATTTTATACGTAAAAAGATGTTAGTAATATTTGTATCAACAATAATTTATCATATCATACACATTTTGATAGACTATTTAAATATTGAAAAGGAACCTTCCTAGCATAATATTTTAGTATAAAATTGTGTATCGAAATTCAAATACTTAAATAGCGCTTAATAAAAACAAATTTTTTAGATTATTYAGACAAAAAAAACCAACATACATATCCCTAATAATATATGATAAKTAAATAGGTAGATAATATTATAGGTTAAACAATAAGCTACTGARATGATACAGGAAAATTCTATACTTAAAAAATTCAATCCCACCAAAAGTTTTTAGAATGCTTAACTGTCGCATTTCTTTTTTAATTGTCCCATTTTCATACTTTTAAAAATATGTAAAGAAATTACAACCACAGTAATAGACGTCAAAGATGCAGTAACTTCTACTAGCAGTTAAGCATATAAATTAATATATGATGAGTTGTTATTTCATTAAAAATTAAAATTTTATTTATAAAAAAAAATTAATCCTGTATTTTATTACTAATATATAAAATACCCAATACAACTACTATACAATATATTTAGAAATAATGAATGTGTTAAAAAAATTATGAATTTAAGACAATTTTTGAAAATATATTCATTATTTTTAATTTAGTATTATATAATTTGATTAAGTATAAATTAAGGTAATCCGAAATTATTCAAAATAAAACTATCATTGTAATGTTTGTTAGTTTTTTTCCAGTGCTTGGATTGTAAGAAAATAGAAATAGCTTATGGMAATATATAAAAACTTTATCTTACTTTAAACATCTTTTATTGACAATTACATCAACCAGTTTGAAATTATGAATAGGTACTATTCTGAATTTTTAATACCTAATTTTTTACATTTAAGAATGTATACACAATACAAAAATGATTTAACTATTTAATATACTAAATGCTTATAACTTAATAATSATAATTGAAACACATCATTTGAACTCCATGCATTAGTACCCATCTAGTAACTATTGATACTAATGATATTCAAACAAACTTTAAACTTAATTCATATTTCTTGTAAATAGATATTTTTATACCTTTGAATTATTATTATTCAMACAATTGGAAGTAATATTGTTCACCGAATCTACAGTTTCTACTTTGGTTCCTACACATCCATTTCGCAAGTGGGGAGGTCTATAGTATGCACATGACCGAATAGATTCATTACAAAAGTTRGAAGGCATATTGTTGACAAAACTCAAGACAACAAAATACAAATATCTGAAAAAATTAAATAATTTTATCAATAGTTAAAACTGTTAAAAGGAAAAAAATCAAGGAAAAAATTTAGTTTAACTTGTTAACGTTAACACGTTGATTGCCATGCGGTCGCCGGCGTCCATATAATAATAATTAGGTATTGATAATTTTTAGACCGCCGGCTGCCGCACCATATCATTTGTAGGAGGCATTACGGCCGCGGGCTGCCGTAAATTAATTTGGATTTATATTATTRACTTTTCAGTGGCGCTACAATAATGATCTTGAAAATATGCTGTTGCGTAGTGGGAATAATTGAAATTTTTTGATGTAATAAACATAATTTTAACATTTTTTTTRTATTTTTAATTTTTTTTTCAAATTCAATAGTATATATTATACAAATACAAATTTATTTATATTGACACTAAAAAATGTCTTTGGCGTACCCATGATAAACATTCTTGAGGCCGCCTGCGGCTGCATGGCAGTCAATGTGTTAAAATAAAAATAAACAAATTAGAAAAGCACTATCAASAGAGAATACTAATAAAAATTAACTTTTTCATAACATAGGTAATTTTAACGTTCTTTTTAAATAAACTTACACTACTTCGTCAACTAAAATATTAAAGTTACACAAATGTTCATGCCTACTGTATTTGTAAAACTATATGAGAGTATGTGTTGCAATATTATTAGTATACAATTAGTTAAATAACTACTATACATTTAAAATTATAATTAAAATGCCTAGTATAAATAAATTTAAAAATAACATCATACAAATGTACAGATATTCTCATTTTAATATATGCATATATACAAAAATGAACCAAATATTTTGGATAATACAGTATCATTGCAGGCCATAAATCTATTTTTATAAGTACATCATCAAATAACATTATTATAAAACAAATTTACTATTATGTAATAGGTATCATGTTATTAATTATAATTTAAAGGTTAATAGGGRGAAGTGTAGGTATACAATACATTTCAGTATTCAATAATAGAGTAGAGATGCCAATATACAGCTAAATGCCTATATAATAGAAAAGGTGTAATTAAAAATTAAACTCAGATTAAATAGGAAAATGTCTCACAGAAAAAAATACCGATTTAGATCTTAAAATTTTATAATATTGATTTTGGTAATTAAACAACATTATTTGTATTTGTATTCGCATAATAATGATACATTAGTTACTAAATATTACTTACCCACGTACAAAATTCTAAAAYGGTAGTAAAAAAAAAAAACCAATTAAAAATACGTACGGAAAATTAATGAACTCGAGCCGTTAAAAAATTATGACAAATGAAATGAAATTTACAATTCTCCAATGAAATTGCAATTAATTAAAAGATGATACAGCTGTCGGTCGTTTTTGGTACGGATGTGTGGTTTTTTTAACGAAACAACGATTGTCGATTAATGTGTATTTTCCTAACCTCAATTTCGAAATTAACGTTGACATTCGTAATCTGTATAATAATATTATAGTGTTAAAAATACATAACCCGAGTATTGATACCTACCTACATATTTTTACAAAAAAATATTTATCGATATTAATTATTAATTACAATTTTTTTTTTAAATATAAATTACATTTCTGGTGTTTGGTCAATGAATTATGTTTACTTACACAATATTAACGAAGACCTACTTTAAACAAAATAGGTACTAAATATAAATTTTCGAGATACGACACATACCTACGTATCACTATAGCACCGACAAATAYGAATGACAGTCGTGGTGAGTGGTGAACTGGCGAAGTAAAGCGCACGCGGCACGCCGCACTGTAGATAACAACGTTTAAACACTTTTTTTTAWATTGGAAAAATGCATTGAAAATGTAATTTGTTTACAAAATAACACTGTTTGTACGACTATATGAGCCTCAAAATAACGATTTGCGATTTATTCGATAGTGTCTTTTTTCCGTTATCTAATCAATGATTTACGAGTGGAGACCTAATCGTTCGGAAACTGTATAAAAATAAACTTTCAGCCAACGAGCTAATTATTTGTAGTTTATACTTTTATCACATAATATTATTATTATTATTATGGGCGGGATTCACAGAAAATTGTGAATTACTAAACATTAATCTCTCTCGTAATCTTTTACTGTCGTGTCCGTCGACACTATTGTAGACTCGTATCTTCAAATTACAACTTATTAGTTTATGGTTATAATATGAACATGACAATATTATATACTATTTTTACACTCATCGTTGAATTTTCGAGTAGGAACAATGGGAATAAGCACACTCCCAATACAATTATACAAACCTAATAATGATTGTAGAAATTATTAGCCCATCGTTTATGGTTCTTGTTGATTAAAATGGTTTTGTGTGTTATTGTACTCATGTGTTTTTAACGTTGTCCGTATTTTTTTCATTTGCAAAAATAAAAAAATGAGGATCTCATTAATTTCAAAAGGTTTTATTATTTTTTGTTACCTACTTACTTAGTTTAGACAATATTATAAAGATATTGAAGATAATGAATTTATTAATCGAGGATTAATTTAACATTTCACTGAAGCATATTTTCTGCTCACAATAACTGCTGCATGCATTGTACTGCATGCATTGTATTTTGTATAACATTACAACACATAATATGATTTATGAAGGAGTTAAAACGGTTTGAAATTAAATCGGTTTTAAATTCTTAAACTACATAGTACGAGCGTTTTAACGCTATCATATTATAAAYGTAGTAGAATGAAGAATATATTTATACTTAAAATAATTCATTATCAATAAGTACCTATATTATAATACATATAAATAGTTAATGGATACCTCATACCTATTATGTTCTGTAAATTGTTTTAAATTACCGTGTATTTTATTGAGCCATATGCCCATATACTATGTATCGATAAAATATTAAATTGTAACTATTTAACTAATTTCGCTTTTTTGAGCATCGTGTCCCCCTGTCCCAAATAACTTCGAATATGGGATGATTTTTGTTCCGTTTTAATTCAGTCATCTCTATGTTATTCTATGTGTTAAAGAATAAACSTTTCGATGGTACACCATATTATTATTATATTTTTAGAATATTGAGATTTGATACCAAAGTTAATATTATTAATATAAGCCTAATCAAGTAGGACAAGTAGGTAATGACTAATAATAACAGTTTCAATTATCGTCTGCGGTATGCTGGTCGGGATTTAAGGTTTTGGTGGCCCCAGGACCCTAAAATTGTAATATAAGAATTTTTAGTTAATCTACATGCTTTTTAACTTAAACTTTAAAATTATATTACTGATGGGTATTCCCTCATCATGCTATTAATTTCTTATCTAAAATGGAATATTTTTTTGCAAATTACTATAGTAAAATTAAAAAAAAAAAGGTAATCATTTTGTGGAGGCCTCTCTGGGCTCTTATTAATTGAATCTTGTGGGGGCCCCAGGGCATGTATGACTCGTATGAGACATAATATATGATTATTTACTGTCATATTTCGCAATGTATAATCAACAACGTTTTAAACAACACAATACAATGTCCAGGTCAGTCTAACCTATAAAAGGTGTATAAGTTATATAATTACTAATTACTATTAATACAATACAGTACCACTTTTGAAGAGAAAATTTCTATTTATCTGATTATTAAACTTATACACATTTACATATATCATATATGTATTACGTAGTATCATATAATATGTATAATATTACAACCCAAGTAGAAAAATCGGTGACTGAATACAGTTAAAGGTAGAAGGTAGAAAGCACTAAAGCAGTGGGCGTTGTATCCAGATTTCAGAGCATACATTATTTGGACAAAGTTAATAATAAATATTTAATCCCAAATACCTAATTATTAACAATCTTAAGACAAATGTAATTTATATAGTAGGTACTATGATAATAATTATACTTATAGATATTTAGTCATCTAGCCCATGGTTATTAATTTATTAATTTATCATATCTAACTGCATGATCTAGACGTATAACGATAATCATATTGATAATAGAACTGAGGGTCGAGATTCGAGACACAGAATAAAATAATTGAAGCAAGTATATAATTGTTTATTTTAATAATCAGGTAATCGGGACGCATCATAAAATATTTATCGCAATTATTTTATAATTKCTAAGAACGAAACTAGAATGCTGATCATAGAGTAATATTGATGCAGTCATAGAGATAATAAAATTATCGTGCACAGTACATAATAATATATTGTTGTGTATAGGTATATGGTATATTTATAATTTATATATAGGTTACRCTATAGTGTCGTGTTCTACACTTCTACATTGAGCTGTAATATACAATTTGTAACAGAAAATCTGACAAGTAAAATAACTACTTTTGTTATAATGAACATAAAAAGTTTTAAATCTAATTACATTAAAATTTTTCAAAATAATCTGTTTGGGAACTTCCTGATATAACTACATAAGGGTATATAAAGTATTTATCATACATATTATAATGTTCATCATTTTTGTCATATGTTTATAGTTTATCTAAATAGTATAATTTTTTTTTTTTTTTTAGGTTTTAACTTATACCCCATAAATGTTGATGCATTCCATTTAGCGTGTGCGAGTTGCTATAAAAATTWAAAAAAATGTTTAAATAATATAATAATTAACTTATATATTATGATAAATTTTATATTATAATTTAATTTAATTATAACTTAATATAATAATATTTTTTATTTTATCGACATTTATATATTTTTTTTAATGCAATACAACAATTTTCAAAATTACATTATAAATTTCAATAAATTACAAAAAATTAAGCACATTATACATTTTTTCTCGGTATTTTCAGTCATTGTATACAACGTYTAGCCTACGTACCGATAAATTTATTATCCACATAACTTGAAAAAAAGACTTGTTTAAATTTTAATGACCGATCACTGATCAGTAAACATTAAACCATGACAATTTTTCTTCTTGGACTGTAACCCAAATGAATACTTTACATTGTACAGTCAAAAGTGGATAGTTATTGGATTAATTTACTCATTTACACGAGTATATATATATTATATATTAAATGGTGATTACACGCACATAACAAAGAATAGGTAGTATATTATTTATAAAATAAAATAATAATTGCTACTTTATACTCTATTTTAAATTTCCTATGTTTTTAGTTTTAATCTGTATCTGCTACCTATATGGATTGGGTGTGTTTTAATAATATTTTAATCATATTATGCAGTTGTCTTATTTCAAACAATAAAATGCACCAAAAGGCAAAAAGTCATTTCCATCATTCGCTACGTAGAAATAGCACGGATCATTAATCGAAAGTGATAACAACAATAGGTACCTAATAAAATGATATTATTTTTAATAACATACTACTGCGTACTGACGGTACATTCGTAAATTAATGTTATTTTTAGTTTCCGATAAACGATAAAGATAGTACGGGTAAGAGCTTGTTTTGTTAATCCTTTACGATAATAATTTAGAATTAGAATATTAATAATAATATTATGTTGTKTTWTGCTGTTGTGCGATGAATACGTATAATATCATAAGCACTCGATGTGTTTCTTGCGTGACTGTTTTTTATGCAGTTTCACAATCACTGGATGATGTACCTATCGAATTTCGGTACTCGAAGTCGTTCTCGTCRTCACCACCAGCTTTTGTCCGGACTCGGGAGAAAACCACGGATCGCGAAACGTGACGATGACCGAGAGCAAGAGCCAAGAAATGGAAATTAAATACCACGAAATCTCTAGCCAAGATATACGGGCCCGCAGTCGGAATGTTATCTCGCATCTCATAGTCTCACAGACGTTTGCATAATTGCATAGGTACCATATACCATTTAAGTATAAAACTATAGATAATTATTCAAAATACTCTGTAGTTAATAATCATTAAACGGCGAGGGTGTTTGCGTTTGCGCGTGCGCGTTCGACGCACGGTTCGTCATAACAAAGTCGCAACGTTGCGAATTCGCAATTCGTCGTCGGACGATAAACTTCGCAATAGTTTCCGATCTCCACGGGCCACACTGCCTCATCCCCTCATCAGTCAACGATCAGTGATCGACGTACAAGTACGACGTGATTGACCGATTCGTGTTAGGCAATTAGCAACGCCGTCGTTGCCGTTGTCGCGGTACACTGGTGGTACCAGCGATAGCCGGTCGACGTGATCCGCCGAAATCGTCGGCGACCAAAGCTTTGCAGTAGCCGCCATGACCACTTACCTAGACCTCGGGCCGTTGTGTTTTTCGTTACGCTCTGAAAAAGTGGTCGAAGTCCTGTACAGACGGACCGAAAAGTTCCAGTCGACCATTAGCATGTTGTGTAGCCGCTTTGTGGCCAACATCAGGTGAGTACCGAGTCCGCAGTATAATTTTTCGTAGGGGAGGGGTTTTTTACAAACATTTTTACGCGTATAATAGGTATTATGTAATTTACAACTCGGTTTAGGTAAATGAAGGTACAATGTTTTTGATTGACCCTTAGTCGGCCTACATTMAGTCTTCTCTATGAGTGTATGGTGGCTTGTTACAAAGGCATGAACAAGATCTTGGATTTTGAAATTTGGGGAAGACTAAATTTTTTTTTCAGAAAGGCTTAAACATAATTAGTACATATTATTAAGAATATAACATTAATATTTAATATATTTGACAAAATAATTTTACATATAATTTTACAGTCATTTTGAGACAAATAATTTCATAATAACAAAAATCATCCATAGTGAATGATGGGACCATATTAGACCCCCTACTAAAGTTCCTTAGCCCCCTAAAAATCACTCCAATAGTTGTGGATAATGTATAAACAAAATAGGTAGGTACCTGTAAACACTGTCTGACTTTTAGGTATGAAACTAACTAGAGAGTGGTTAGGACAGGTAACCCATATTTAGGAATTTCCTATATACCTAGGTTAGGTTGTTAAAATTCATATTTTACTACAATTCAAGTGATACATCTTGTTTATTTGTATTATTAAAAAAAAAAATTGATTTGTGATCAGTTATTTGTTAACTTGACATGTACATATTGAATTTTCACTCTAATTTAAGTATAAGTTTTGTAAATCTTATTCCTTAGGTTTATTATGATTTTAAAATGTTGCTAAAATAAGCACTTATTATTATATCAAGGGTTATTGATTATTACCTTGATTATCATAATTCAATATCTATCCATTATGTGAAAATTTCTTGATGTTTTTAATTGTATGCACAAATAAATGTAACWGTCTTGTAAAGTATTTAAATATCTATAATCTATTTTATATTTAAATACATACCTATTCAGAATACTTAATATGTATAGGTACCTACTTAATACTTATTCAGAAAAAAAATTTTGGTATTTGAGTTTTTATATTAAAATATTGGTTAATGTTATTATTCATTAAAAACATTAAATTTAGTGTGAACACAAAAAACTTGACAATATTATCTTGCTAATTATTACAAAAATATAAAAATATAATGTGTAACATCAATAAAATGTATTTGTATATGATATGTAAAATATAGTTAGAAATATTAACAATTATTATAGAATGACTAAAAATTATTTTATTTTATCTTAACAATTGTATATGAGGTACCTATATTATGTAAAAAAATTTTTTCATCTTTTTTAGGTACCTATTCAGAAAACAAGATAAAAGTTTTCTTTACAAGACTGTAATGTAATATATGCTTTATTAAAATTAATTTAATTAATGCCTTGTTATTACAGGTGATCAAGATTTCTTTATCAGTAAATGATTTATTTAAACTTTATACTTTTTACAATTATGCATAACCACATAGATGTAAACATGAGAAAAAAAGATTTTGAATGGAGATAATTAAAAATTTGTGCAGATGGGTATTTTATATGTTATTAAAATTATTTTTGTTTATTTTTGTTAGGTTAGTTAGATAAAATATGTAACTATTTAAATCTATTATAATATTTTCTTGAACCTGCGAAAACCCCTAACTTTTCTTTAACTTTTAAGGAAATATGATGATATAGGTAGAAAAATAAAAACAAAACTCAGATTTTATAAAAAATAATGTTTTTCATTTATTTAATTAAAATATGTCAAAATATCACATCCTATTACAAGTCTCGTATCTAATCACAATGATAAGAATATGTACATGCTGTATTAGTTAACCAATTTTGATTAATGGTTAGAATTTTAAATTTGCTCTTTATGTGTGCTAACAATTTTAAAATCTGATAGAAGTAGCCAGTAGGTTTTGGAGGTAATTKAAATTTTAAACTTGGAAAGATTCTTTAACTGAAGTTTTGGGATTGGTATGGGACTTTTTAAATTGAATTTTTATTCAGCCTTAGAGGAGAGGTATCCCTGTGTAATTAATTTGTCTATACCCATGAACCATGCGGCTTTTAGTCATTTTCTCAGATATTTTTTTTTAGAGGATTTAATATTTGTTAATTTTATTTGGGGAAGATGTTGCCCATATTGAGCAGGTGTAAGTGATTAGTGGTTAGATTATTTAGGTGTATCGTAAGATGGATGATTTTATTTATAGACTGAGTTGATTTTGGAGTTAATCGAGGGATAGTACAATCATTCTTGCATAATATCTTTGGATGAGTTTTAATTTAAATTAATTTTCCATGCTGGTTTTTTGTCTAAAAACATATGAAGGTACTTGACAGTTCCTTTTTTATTTTTTTACTGTTGCTTCGTTATTTATTTGAATGAGCTAGAGGTCTTTAATGCTTAAGAATAAAAATTGTTGATGCGTTTTTTTTTGGGTTCAGATTCAGTTTCCAATTTTTATCCAAGTCGTCACAGTGTTTAGGGATGTTAGTAGGTGTTGAATTGAAGATTCCAAGGAGTTTCTTTAGGTTATAACTGTTGTATTAACCTCAAACATCACCAGTTGAGAGTTTTAAGGAATTGGTATAATGGTATGTTGTGATTGTAGATTTAAAGTGGTTGGCTAGGCCTGAAATTCAATAAATTAACTTAACTATTATACCATTTAAAACCAGAATACAAGTATTTACTCTACTATTATTAATTTAATTTTTATCTCTGCTACCTTTACCTAATGTTTTTCCAGACAACACAAAATATTTAGTCTTTTGAATATTTATTTTACTGAACAATTGTACAAATTGAATCAAATGTAGATACCTTTATGTTAATAGATTCAATTATTTAAATTATTACAACACATTTTTAAAACTAATTATAGATATACTTAATTTTCACCATTTAAAATGTTTAAATGTTGTTCTAGAAATCCTGATACCTCAAATGATGAAATTATAGAAAATGAAAAATATAGTGATGAAGAAATTGATTTACATTCAGATAAATCTAAATTAGGTACTACAATTGTTGAAAATGAGCCATGTAATTATACAATGTAGGTACTTTTTTTTATGTAGGAATTTATTGAGTACTATTATTGTTAATTTAAATTAGAGTAAAATATGTATTTCAAGATTTAATTTTACTGGAATCGTTTTAAGTTCTATGTTTAAATATTATAGTAATATGAAAGTTTTACAGCATTATAATGAATTTACTTCATATGTTTTTATTTTAATTTCAGATATTTATTTTTAATTAATTTTAATTTGTATCAATTAGTACATTTATGTATGAATTTGATATATGTAAAGATCAATCAAATTTGTTAAGATTGAATTAATTTAAAATAATATAAATTAAAAGTTTCTTGGCTATTATACTAACTTTGGAAATAAAATGATTATAATTTAGATGATCTAATTTTTTGTTTATTGTAGGAAATTATATGATAAAGGAGTTCACAAAATCAATGCAGTTCTTAAAGATTTAGGTTTAGTTGTGTCTAACTTGCATTCTAGGCAATATAATATGGAACCTTTACAAATATATTATCATAAGAATAATATCGCCTGTAGCATTCAAAATAGAAATTATTATTCATCGAAATCAAATGTTAGTGTATTTTTACATATTATACCTAAAAAAATTCTACACAGTATATTGCTTAAATTAATTTAGCTATGTAAAAATAATCAATTCTTATTTATTGTGTTTCAGAGTTCAATAGATAGCCTAGATAAATATTATTGCAACGAAAGTGATAACAAGTCAATGTCTTCAAAATTGTCTTCAGAAAGGATATTTTACATAAATGTTAATGATAATAAAGTAGGTATAAAAATTAAAAATGTTTCATAAATCTCATTTCATATTATCCTAGTAACTATTATTGTTTTGCGTAATACATGAATTAACTATTTTACAGGGATTAAATATATATTATAGGTACAATCATAGACGCAATTTGGATAAATTTTTTTTTTTTTTTTTTTTTTTTTTATCATCAGAATTTAAAACTTGAAAACCACACTAGTCACCAAGTTGTAGTAATTTACATTATTTTCAATTTTGTTTTACGGATTAGTACTTCCTTAATAAACGCTCGAGCAGAAAAAAATACTATAAGTACATTTTATATAATAAGATATTGTTACCATGATATGGAACCAGATAAAATAAACAAAAATCTTGTTTAAGTCATCGCAAAAATGATTTTTTTTTTTTGTAAAATCACGAAGTTTCCGGACAATATTCGGCAGTGTNTAAATCTCGATATATAATTAAAATATATAATTATATAAACTCTATTAAAAGTATGCTACCCTTTGTTCGTTGTCTCCGTCTCACAAACGTTCGACGTGGCAATTTTTCGTCCATTGGTTTCAATAGTAGGTATGCTGTTAGTGTTGATATACAAGTAAATTGACTTTTATGCGAAATATCAAAAAATAAAAATGCCATTAATACCTTGTTTGCAAATTAAAACTTTCGAAAAAAGCTGGCGATTAAGCACTGATAATGTTCTTACCAAAAAGTTTAATAATGGGTTAATTCATTTTCATAACAAAATTAACAGCTTACTATTGAAACTAATGAGCGAAAATTTGCTTTGTCGTATACTTGTATAAGACGTAGACAACAAATGCATGGATAACATTAAACATATTACATCCTTTTAATTTATAGGTACTGTTTTAAAAATTGTCCTAAAGATAATAAACATTGTATATTTGATTAATTTGTCGATATTGTATTTATATAGACAAATATTATTAAAAGCGTGTATCTGCAAAATATACCAATAGGTAAATTATTTATTGTCCTATAGCCTATGCTTCTATGTGTATATGCAAATACATGCTAATTACATGTTAGTTATTTGCTAAAAAAATTTCAAAATTCCAATGTGGGGGGGGGATAAATTTATCAAAACAAAAAAGACCTTTATAAAAATAAAAAAATATGTAATACCAAGTAAAATTAAATTTTTATGAGCGTTTGAAGTTCTCATATTTTTACAACATTGGTTATTCACTCAATTTCTCATGTAGCGATTTTCTTATTTTGTTGTAATTCAAAAATTAATAATTGAAGATGCATGATCGTTTAACTGAATGTTTATATTCTCATTTTCTATACACCATACAATTTTGAAAATATTTTGACACGTTTTGAGCTATTTACGGACATTTTCAGTTTTCATTTTTTTTAGTTTTTTTTTAGTTTTTTTTTACTTAAATTGTCAATATAATTTTGTTTGTTGGATAAAAAACCGTGAAAATTGAATCCAAGGGTCTTGGTATATTGTTACGATACCAGATGAAAAATATTGAAAATGCATATRCACWTTTTTTTTTATACGCATTTAAAGGTTTAAATTTTGACGATTTTTAATTTGATAATTTTTTTATTAGGTGGATTTAAGAATGAATATATTTAAAAACATAGGGGGGCCTAAATAACACTAGAGAGGGCTAAGCCCCCCTATACCCCCCCCCCAATTGCGCCTATGGGTACAATATATATATTTGTCAAAATGTCATCATTTTTAGTTTATAATTTATACATTTATTAGTTCTACCTAACTAAACTACTTATAATTTATTGAAAAATTCTTTTATATAGGTACCTACATTTGAATGTATACAACTTTACCTTAATTTTTCAAACGTTTTAATTTATTATTGGTATAATATATATATAAAATAAATTTTTACTTTTTAAGAACTTTTATGACATAATTAATATGATACTATGTTTATCTATTAAGATTGTTCAAATGTTAAGTGTCTGATATTGGTCACTTAGTATGTGTAAGTAGGCCTTTTAGTGTTGTTATATCACATTAGACTGCATCTATCATATTTGTGAAACACATCAATTGAATCACTGTCAAAAAAAAAAAAATTAACTGTAAATAAATTAAATCTATTTGTCAGAATTATTATCAAAACCTATCTATAACACCAAAAAGTACTGGATATATTCATAGAGAAAAAAGATGTTCTCATAGATCTAATCGAAGAAGGTTTTCCAATAGATACTGGACGATGAGGCATATGTTATTTTCAAAATTTGAACATGGTATTCTACTGGATGATGGTATTAATACTAACATAATTTATTTTTATATCTTATTATATTTTACAAAATTGTTTTTTTACAGAAAGCTTTTATTCTGTGTGTCCAGAAATATTAAGTTACCATATAGCAAAACGTTGTAAAAATGATATTTCTCTGGACCCTTTTTGTGGGGCTGGCGGGAATATAATTCAATTAGCATTTACATCCAATTTAGGTTATTGTTACATATTAATTATTTTAAAATAAAATTATATTGTTGATTTGATAGAATTTATTTGTTTTTAGTTGTAGCAATTGATATAGATCCGTGTAAAATAAAACTAGCACGAAACAATGCTGAGATATATGGTGTAGCTGATAAAATTGAATTTGTTGTTGGTAATTTCTTTGAAATTTGTTCAATGTTAAAAGCTGATGTTATATGCATGTCACCCCCGTGGGGTGGTCCAGAATATGTGATCAGTGATAGCTTTAGTATTGCATCCATGTGCAAGAATTATAGATTTGGTGGTTTTACTATTTTTGACATTGTTAAAAATATTGCACCAAGTGTTGCATTTCATATGCCCAAAAACACTAATATATATGAAGTAGGTTATAATTGAGAAATTAATGTTTTTTCAAACATCATATTTTATTGTTATTATTTTTAGTGTTTATGGTTAGCAAGATTTTTAGGGAAAGTGGAAATACAGCAGAATATTATCAACCAAAAGCTGAATTCAATTACAGCATTTTATGGAGACTTTATTGATTTAACTAGCAACGACTATTAAAAAAATATTTTATAACTATTTTAAATAAAAACTAGTCTTATAACATTATATTATATTGTGTTTGTTTATTGTTATGACTTTTAAGAGGATGTTACTCAACATTTGTTGTGTATGTCTTACAATGTAACAAAAATTGTATGCTCAAAACAGATCACGTTTAACTCTGTAGGTTTTTAAATTAGAGTGAATTGACCTCTTATAACATTTAAAGGTAACATTATTATACTATATAGGGCATCTTATAGGTTTTTTATTCTGTTTTAATTTTAAAGCAAGTTATGAGTATTTTAAAATTTTAAATTGTTGTACATCTTAAATTACTCATAACTTACTTTAAAATTAAAACATAATAGGTTATAAAAGCCTATAAGGTGCCCTAGATCAGAAGTTCCCAAACTGTTCACTAGGGCAGTGGCGAAACGAACCTAAAGTAACCCATAAGCAAACTTAAAATGTACACACCCACCCACCCATCCATTAGTGCTATTACCCATAGTACCTATACCTGAATATATCTATAAATTGTAATAAATACTAATACTAATAGATACTTAGTTATGGTTATTCACATTCATATTTTCACCCACGACCCACGGCACCCACCCATTCCAAAACCTTAAAAAAATCGAGAAGCAATCGCTTCTCAAAGACCATGGTCGTTTTGCCACTGCACTAGGGACATTATCAACCCTTTCTGCGGCTCATAATAAATAATTTAAAAGGTATAAAAAAAATTGTGATAATTTTTTTTGTACTGTCCTTCATGGTATTCACAATAAGATACCATGTCTATATTTGGTCTAAAAAARGGCATGGTGGATTAAAATTTGGGAACTACTGCACTAGATAGTAATTTTACCTTTAAATTTTATTAGACTTCAATGTATACTAAATTTTAAATTATCTGATGGTTTTTTTTTTTTTTATTATCATCTAATTGTGATGTTACAAGACACTTGTATATTCTATAAATGACCGAGTGAGTTGGGTTCATAATAAATTGAATTGATTGATTTRGAATTTATTTTATAAGTATCTATATTTTTTTTGAAATAACAATATAATTAATATAGTATAAAATATCCTACTGAGAAACTGTCTCCGCTCAGAATTGTTTTCCATATACAATAATATTATTATATCTTTGAATTCAATTTTAATACCATCATTGGCGCAACTAGGGGGATTTGGGTAGCTTAGCCCCCCAATGTATTATAAAAAAAAAATTGTTTTGATTATTTAAAATTGAATGATAATTTAAGCATGGGATAGTGAGATACATACTAAATAATATTAGTAGTATATGAGTATATGACGCAGAGTGTTATTCAAAAGTATACTGTACAAATATATAAAATAATATTACTATAGTTTATTTTGGAATTCCTACAATCCTACATAATTAATAATAATATTCTTATCTAATAAATGTGAAAAATTAATTATAATCTATGAGATTATCGATAATGTCATAATATTTAAATATTTTATGTAAAACATACTACATAGAAGTAGGTAGATGATTTAAAATAATATAGTATGGTAATAATATTTTATAATTGTTTTTATTTCAATTAATAATTATTGTTCTGTGGCTGCGGCAATGGGGGTATGKGTGGCGGAGCCCCCCATGGCTTACATTGACTAAATTTATYTGTAGGGCTTCAGCTCCCCCCAATATTTTAGACCTAGTTGCGCCAATGAATACCATTTTTTACAGTAACTTGTAAGTTTTAACCCAATTTACCTACAGCAGAGCAACATCCACTTACCAGCTCTTTTTTGATTAAATCGCCATTAAATTCCGCCCAAATTTGAGCTTTAAATATCTTAAATAGAAATAGAAAAATTTGCTGGTTATCTTCTATTAAAATTTCTAATGTGTTATGTGAGGCATAAAAAGAAAAACTTTTATGAATTTCTAACTGATCAATTAATTAAAAATTTTTAAAAACGCTTTCTTACTAGGCACCTACTGGGAATTTTTAATTTTCATCTCTTAAAAGTACCAACTGGATTCAATTTCCTATCAGAAAAAATTATATTGTCAAAAATCGAAGCTTTTTTACTATTCCAAATGTTGATGATGAATAGAATAAAAACATATCATTGTAAATGTAAATTGCAATACATTTATTCGGAGTCTATAACTAATAAAAATCAAAAAATTCTTTTGTTTATAAATAATTCAAAAATTTAAATTCGCTGTATTTTCTCGATTTCATTACTACTAGAAATTTTTATATTGACTTTTCAAATGTACCAACTAGAATTCACTTTCCTGCCAGAAAATATGCCGAATATAAAACTGAGGCTTTATTTTGATTACTTACTTATTGTGTTCACACTTAAAAAATTCCTTTTTAAATAAACATAATTTATCATTGTAAAATCAATTGTGGTCCATCACTTCACTCAGAATCTAAAATGAAAATTATTCAAATKTACATAAACATCTTTAAAATAGGTGTTTAGAAAACCATACCATGCGTTTGTAAATTTATTGACATTATTTTATTTATACTTCTAATATCTATACAAATTTGGTGTGAATGATGAGTATATTTATAGTTAAAAAGGTACTTTAAACTTGTTGGCACAAGTTGTGTATAATATATTCCATATTCAGTATAACCCATCAATCCTCATCAGCTAGCTTATTCAAACTTTTTAGTTGATAATAACTTAGCTATTTATTGTATAACAAAAGTATATTTTTACAATGTTTTTTGTTAACATTTATATATATTATATATGTATATATGTATTATATATTTATATATCCCTTATTTCAGAATTCTGATGTAGTCCGTAGATGTAATCAATTGATGCAATCAAAACTCAAAAGAATAGATACCTACCGAAGTTTGAGAGTATTGAAATTATTAGTGTCGGTATTTGAATTAATTTAATCCTAGTGAAATGTTTTATCGCATTTGCCATTTTGGTTTGAAAAAGCAGCTTATGGTTGATCATTGATTTATACCTTATGCTAGTGTTATAATTTCAAACAACGATAGATCAGCATTCGTTTAGAGAATCAATAATTTATATATATATTATATAGTCGTCTTTGCATGTGTTGTTTCTGCTATTAATGTTCCAGTATGTTATAGTCGTTATAGAAGGGATGGCAATAAAAAATAAGATGATAATCCAAAAGAAGTGAAAGAATCTCAAACTATAAGAGCTGTTAATGACATTAAGTCCAATCCAGATGCATCAATTGAACTTTTTCAAGTTCCTACCTGATGAATTACCTTTCCTATTGTTAGTAACACTAGCAAAACTACCGTTATATCCTATGTTGTTTAGAATAAATTGTTGAGGTTAATATATAATATAATATCTTTATTGAAAATATTTTAGAGTATGTTGGACATTGTCTTTCACAGATCCATGATTCTAGATAAATTGCATTTATTATGAGAAATAAAAGCTTTAAATCAACTTTTTATTGGTCTTTTCATGAGAAAAAAACATTGATGAGTAAGTATTYTTGTTATACATTATTAATTGACTTAATAGTAAATACAATTTCATTAAATAATTCATGTATAAACTACATTTGTTGGTATATATATTTTTAGAAAGTTCCAGATAATAATATTGTTACAAATATTGATGAAGTGTACAGTGTTGGGTCCCTTGTTAGAATAAATGAAATGCAAGAGTTTTGAAAAATAAATTATATAATATATCCATACTATATTTAAGGCATATTAAGTAATTCACTAATTTCTTTTAATTTGTTTTCAATAGTTAATTTTTTAAATTGTGTTAAACATTTTTAGTCACAAATGATTTGACCAACCGTAATAGAAAACAATTTCGTCATGAGGGATCTTCAAGCACACCTGAAATAGAGCCGATTTTTTTGAAGTAGAAAAGACTTAGAGACAAGTGCTTATGATTGAAGTAGATAAGTAGAACATTTAAAAGATGAACCCTTATATAAAACAATGAAAATTAAAGTATGTCTGTAGAAATGTAGTATTCAATATTTTTATACAAAACACTTACATTAATTAGTTATTTTCTTAGACATTATCTCAACAAATAATCAAAACTATTCAATCAGTTACTATCATAAATCYCATTTAAAATATAATTTTTAATGTTGCCACATGGCAATTTATCAAATGATTCTTCATATTTATCTGACATTGCAGCTGTTATAGCTGATTGTGAGACTTATGAGTTATGAATATCATGCAATTTTAGAAGAAACTAATGTATGTACTTTACATTTGCATATAAATAATAATTACAGTAAAACCTGTACTTCACAGATGGTCATGAAACCGTCAAAAGTGTCCATTGCAGACAGACTTTAGTCTTATTTTAGTTAAACTATGTAAACTATGTATCTAGTATTGTACTTTTGTGAAAAAAACCATTTGTAAATATTAATACATATTAAATTTAAGAACACACATACACGGTAGATACCTAAACATATTATATATTTATGATTTATCAATAGGATGTCACAGTCACAACSGCATGTGTCGTCTCTGTCTTACACAGCAATATATACTATACGCATTTACGAAGTTGTATACTAGAAATTAAAAGGTGACAATATTTAGGAGGGCCAAACATTGAGCTTTTTTTTTAAATATTTAAATTTTGAAAAGTTAAGTTATTTTAAAATGTTGAAGTTTTTTGCTATTTCTTAACGATATAATGAATGATAACATATTGGGAATCATGAAAAAAACGCAACGTCTTGCCATCAGAAATATTATCTAAATTCAATTTTGCAATAGATATTTTTACTCTAGAACCAGAATTGATMATATCTTACTCATACTACGTAAACGTGTTAAGTCTATGTTGTATGTGTACAAGATGGATAAAACACATGCGAGTTTGATGTTAAAACCTAAACATGTTGGAACTTTACCTGTCTGTTAAATGAAAATAATTGTCTGAAAATATATATAAATATTTAAGCAAGCACAATATTATTTAAATTATAGATTATTTTTTAAATA